TTTTTTTTTTTTTTATACATTCCCCTTCCATGGCCCCACCAAGCTCTGGGACCTCCTGGTCAACCTCCTCTTGGATTTGGACAAGCTGGCCATTTACAAGATCAGGATGGAGGCTCTGGCTGGGGGGAACCTGCGTGTGTGTAGGGCTGTCTTCCTGTCACTCCTCTGTTCACATATCTGGGCAGAATTTCACTGGTCAGCATCCACAGGCTCCCTCGATTTGTTCAGGAGGCAGCAGGCACCAACCGGTGTGTTGTGCTTGGCATTCCCTTCCGGATCCCTTGTTTTGAACCTGTAACCTTCACTCCCATTCCTGTTTTCTTTTTGTGTCCCAAGAAATCAGTTGATGTGTCCCCACTGGCCTCCTATTAAGGGAGGCTTATAGCATTTTTTGATGGGCTGACTTTATGGCATATGTAATAGGCCTGTATCACAGTGGCAGAGAGTGGGTGCTGAAAGGAAGAGTGAACAGGGCATAACCAGGGGTTTTTTTCCCTGTTGCTCTCCCATTTGCAGTCTCTAACATTTAAAGTCTTGGAAGTTTTGATTCAGAGGCTAGATGGACCCCTAACTCCCATGTTTAGTAGCTACTGATGCAGCCTTCCTCCAAGAATTTGTCCAGTCCCTTTTTGTATCCCTCCAAGTAGAACCCTCACCTTTTAAGGATTACATTGCTGCCAGAACACCAACCGTGGATGGTAGAGTATCCAGACCTACCATGTTTTTTGAGGTCAGTACCCAGAACTTCCCCAGGATTCTCCTAGGCTAGAGTCATACATTACACATAAACCAGTTTAAGTGATCAGAAACTGGTTTACACCTGTAACAGAACAGATGTTCAGTGCACAAAAACAGTTTTAAAATAGCTGAAATTGGTTTGAGATAAACCTGGTTGAATGTAGTATCAGACTTAACTGATTTGGCTCGAACCACTTTATGCAATGTCTGTCCCAGACCCCTTCTGGGTTTAACTTAAACCAGAGTCCCCCAGCTTTCCAGATGCTTTGCAGCCCCGGGTGGGGCTCTCTGCTCCAGAGAATAGGCTGGCCCCACCCCTTTGCTCCCTGGCTGGAGCCCCAGCAAAGACTACAGACACAGCAGTGTCTGCCTGGATTCCCTTTTCTCCCCCCTCCCCTCTCCCACAGCACAGACCGTAGCCAGCACTTGGTAGGCTAGCTGATGCTTGTCTGTGTAAGGCAGACAGGACAGTGTCCACTTAGGGCTTTTTAGAGCTAATCAACAGGACAGCTGGTAATGACTGCATTCCTTCCTTGGAAAAAGTTGTTTAAGAAGAGTTTGAACTAATGAGAGAGGTTTTTGTTTTCTTGATGGGGTGCTAAATGCTATCAACTCCCTGTGTAACTAAATGCTATGTAACTCCCTGCTGGTTCCTTTGCTGGTTAGGAGTAGTGTGTGTGGGGTGGGGACAGGTGAAGAGATCACCAGATTTTCTTGACCCCTGCTTCTGATTCTCCTGACCCCTGCTGCCACTGCTCTCCACCCTATCCACAGTTTATGCCTCAGT